AGGCTCTCAAACGAAAGCAGTTCATAAAAATTCAGCAAAATTTAAGCGAAAAATAAAAACTTACAGTGAAATACTCGCATTCCCAGCAGAAGTGTACTTTACACTGCATACATTGTACGTGATTGCATCCGCCGAGCTTCTCAATGACTGTTTTGCAATTCCGATTTGGGCAAATTCGGCGAAATCTCTTATCCTCTCTGTAAACAGCATCTTATACCAGCACCGATCCTTTTCCCATAATTCATGAGCATAATTCCACCTGGTTCGTGAAGATACCCCATTCTAATTTTAACAATGTTTGAGACGAGATAATGTTCCAATACATCAAACGCTTCTCAGCACAGCTAAAGTGGCTCGGCCAAGTAATTCGAACGAGAGAACCACTGAGGTGTCAATCTACATGACTGTTCAGGACACGGCGGGTAGGAGGCTGTACTGATAATTTCCGCTCCTGTCCACGTGCAATGCTCAGTCTGTTTTTACAGCTAAGGGATGAAACACACAGAGACTGCATCGTAAAATGCCCTCCGACACATGACAATTAAGGCCAATTCTTCTATTCCACTATTTTAGGAGAAAAAAATGAACATCAAATTCGGTGTAGAATTGGTCAAAGTAACAGGGAATATTGCCGGCTGCATAGCTGGAGAAGCAAACTATAAGTTAAAATTGATGCCAGCCTTTTGTCAACGGTATTTGGAAGCTAACACAAGCGTCAGTAACTTCTTGTGGAGGTGTCTTAAAAGCCAAAGATAGCTAACTCTACATCATCTGCATCGGCTTACTACCAAGCTGGCCAGCGCATCGACTGCCGGTGCGAAGACACATTTTTTGCATAGCCCCCCCCCCCCTTTTTTTTTTGCACAGCACTGCTCCCACCGCTGCTTGTGTTTGTCGCTGACGGCACTATTTTTCCAGGCAAATGCTTCTACCTAACAGAATTGATACGGATCACCACGGCTGCCAGAAAATGTCTCCTTAAAATTTCAGCTTCCTAACTTTTCTGGTTCTCGAGTTAGCAACTTACCTGCCAAAAATTTTCACTGGCCCGTATGTGGGAACCACGCACATCTGGGACTGGGTTTTTTGGAGATACCTGATTGTAAGCGACACGGAATATCCCCTTAGAACATCCCCGCAGCGGGTACCACGTTTTATAGATAGGAGCCCGTGCATGTGTATAGATTAAGTTCCCAAAGTTTCAGTCTCTTAGCTTTTGTGGGTCTCGAGATGAAAATAAAGTAGAGATGTACAAACAGACAACTCCTCGATAATATGCGTTTTTGCATTGCATAGATGCCAAAAAAATGCATAAAAATCATTTCTTCTGATCGAGTTAAACCACCCATCCTTTCAAAAAATGGATGCCAATTGCCGGTGGAAGAACAGGCCCTTACATATAGGTCTAAAATAATAGACCAACAGGATTGTACGCAGGCGTTATGTGTAAGGTGATCTTTTATGGTGCAAGCTGCCTTTATCCTTTAGGATGTAGTAGGGTGATATTTTTCCATGCATTCTGTGTTTCATCCCTTAGCTGTAAACACAGACCGGACTATGCGTGCGGGAAGTATTGGGAATCGTCAGTACAGCCTCCTACCCGTCATGTATTGAAAAGACATGTAACTAATTTGCAAGAA